CCCCAAAACCCCAAAACCCCAAAACCCCAAAACCCCAAAACCCCAAAACCCCAAATATTTATCTATAAATTAAAAACCAAATCAATATAATAAAATAAAAGATTTGCAATGAAAGTAAATATCTTCTATATATTGGTAATTGCTGTCATTTGCTTGACAGCTAACGCCACTGTCTATGAGGCTGCAAACTCTGAAGACGTTGACCTCTTCCTAAAAGACTACAAGGATGAGACCATCGGATTCCTCTTCTACGACTCGAAGGAAGATAACGCTAAGGATGAAGATTGGTTTAGCAAACTATCTTCAAAAGTCCTAGGAATCTTTATGAGTAAAGACCAATTCGGAAGATCTACCGAAGATTGGGTTGAACTCTTTGATGATAAACTCCACCTCATGAGAATTGATGTCAGAAACAAAGCAAATCTAAGAGTTAAGGTTGAATTCAACATCGAGACTGTCCCCTACATTGTTCTCATGGATAAGAAGAGAACCATCTTGAGGGAGAAGATCGACGATCTAACATTTGATCATGTCAGAAATCTGCTTGATAGAAGACCAAATCTGCTACATAAGACTGGAGGAGCTGCATTGAAATCTTTCAACCTCGAGCCTGAGGAAGGAGCTATTGATACTCAACCAAGAGTTATTCAGTTCTTTGACTTAGAAGAGGGATCTCCAACCAACATTGAGCAACCAGTACAGAGACAATATGTCAATTGGGCCCCGGTTGATGCCATTGGCCCAGATGGTAAATGGGAACAGAGAGGAAGAAACTGGGTTACCAGCTATGAAATCCCAGAATCAGGAATCAAGAATCAACAAAACCCAGCCAAGGTACATGATGTAAAAAAAACACAAGATGATCCCAGACCACAGGGCTCTGATACTCCACTCCCAAAGCCACAAAAGCCACAGCAACAACAGCAACAAAAGCCACAACAACAGCAAAAGCCACAGCCACAGCCACAGCAACAGCCACAGCAAAAGCCACAGCAACAGCAACAGCCACAACAGCAGCAACAGCCACAACAGCAGCAACAGCCACAACAGCAACAACAAAAGCCTCAACAGAGAAAACCTGGACTGCAAAAAGCCCAGGACCAACAGAGCCAAGGCCCACCTCCTCTTTCCCAAAGAGGAATCCAGGATAGACTAGAAGCTCAAAGAAGAAGAGAGGCTTCTGCTCAATTCCAAGCTAGAGCCTCTGCCAGCCAGACAAGAGATAATGGTAGTCCTGCTAGACCTCCTTACTACTCCCAGCAAGCTTCTGCATCAGCAGATGTTAGTGCTGACACCAAGAACACTCAAAGATAAGTCCTGAACGTGAGTTTAAAGGCATTGCTAATTAATCATGAGCTATAAATTTCAGTGCTAGTTATAGAATAAGGGGTTTTGGGGTTTTGGGGTTTTGGGGTTTTGGGGTTTTGGGGTTTTGGGG